TATTATTTTATCTTGTGTTCCTTATTTCTATTCTACAACCGTTGATGCAATTTCCTGAATGTGGGACGATTTATTAATCTGAATCTCCTGACTTCTTATAGACTTGTCCTCAAACATAGTAAATGCATTTTATTCCCCCCCACCTTTTGCAAAACGGTCTCTTATGTTTCGGACATTTTTATCACTGTATTTTCTGCCCGTGGTCACTTAGCATCATCCAAACACAAAATATGCAGAGTATCTCTCGTGATCAGGGCCAGTGTAGCACCTGCGTAGATACCTCTTCATTATCTCCGTCTGGAATAATGCATGTTAGGCCTCATTATCCGCGCTCATCCTCTTATCGTATCAAAACATCTGACGCTTCTAAGCTCAATTAAGAGTGAATGGCCACTTGCAGCTCCTCCACATTAACCCACACTGTAATGCAGTAACACATGGGAAGTTATAGCAGCGGATGCAGTTGTATGTCAGGAGAGAGAGAGAGAGACATACAACTGCAAGTGTTGGGTCTGTGACAGTGTGATTTGGTGACAAAACAGCCAAAGAAAGAGCTATAAACAAGGTACTTTGTTCTGCAAAAAGGACTGTGAGATGTGAACTGCCTGTTCTGGAGGTTCTTTATGAATCTGGACTCTTAAACCGAGCTCTTAGAATAATCAATGACTCTTCTAGGCCACGCCGGGAAAGCCATGTTCCAGCTTCTTCCCTCCGGCAGAAGTTATGTTGAAATGCAGTTCAAACAGAGCACCTAAAATGATCAAATTCACAGTGATAATTGTTTCCTGCACTTTTTTATTCTACTGTGTTTACCTTTTTTAATGGATGTACTTGTCTTGTTGTTTGGCGACATAACAGCCAAAGAAAGAGTTCTAAACAAGGTGCTCTGCTCTGAAAGAAGACTGTGAGCTTCCTGTTCTGGAGGTTCTTTGTGAATCCAAACTTTCATTCATTCAATTCATTAATTTTCATCCCCTTTGTTAATCAATCATCCCCTTTGATAGCAACAGTGTGTGGAAAAGGAACCTCACAGAGACGGGATCTTTACGCACCAGAGCGTGATCTGTAGAGATGGATAGAGCAGAGTCAGGGCAGGAATCAGAACCACTGACACAGGATTAAATAATAGCAGTAAATTACCAAGCCAATACAACATAGTTTCCATTTAAAATGGAAATGCAACATGCAGTATTGCTATATCAAAAATTGCACAGTGTATGAAAGCAAACAGATGCACATGAAGTGAAAACTCGTGGATAGGTATTAGCTGAAGAGAAAAATGAATAATCAGCAGCAGCGTCAAGAGTGTTGCTAGTGTCAGTAGGCGTGAGGCTCATCAGAGACAGGGTGTTGGTGTCCCCTCTTGGGTGTCGGGCAGTGGTGCTGACCCCTGAGCTGGAGCGATCCGTCACTGGGGCAGACAGTGTTAATGTGGCAGGCTTTGGCTCATCCATCAGCCATCAGACAGGGCACAGGACCACAGGTAGCAGGATCCAAACTGTCACTCAGGACGCGGCGCCAAAACAGTCATTTAAACCTGACCTCAGCGGCTGCAATGGATTCATGGTTATATTCTGTGTTTGACTTTGTGTTTTGTGCGGCTGTTGTACACAAAATAAAAACCGTATTAAGTATGAAGGATGTTGCTTCGTCTAACTATGATAGAAAGATAGATACACAGCAAAAAATGAGGAGAAATATGTCAAAAAAAATCTGTTTTTACCAATGGGACAAGCAAAATGAAAAAAATGGCGCCGGAAAACTGGCACCGTGGCTAGGGCTCTGGTGGTCTTCTGTCTGGTGCACACTGGGGTATTCCTGCACAATTTTTCCAATGTGGTTTTACTGCAAGTAGCAAATACATTTTTGAATGAATGTTGAATCAGTGATTACATTTCTTGTTGATCTGAAATCGCACGTAATAAGATTCTGGGAAAATTATCTGGGTTAGGGTTAAGATTCTAGACTACGGGCGGCACGGTGGCTGAGTGGATAGCACTCTCGCCTCTCAGCAAGAAGGTCCTGGGTTCGAATCCCGGTCGGACCAGGGCCTTTCTGAGTGGAGTTTGCATGTTCTCCCCGTGTCTGCGTAGGTTTCCTCCGGGTACTCCGGTTTCCCCTACCACTAAAAATATGTCCAATAGTTCTGGCATGTGCCTCCTGTACTGGTGACCCCGCTCCCATCTCTGTGTGGAGTGAGAGACAAATGCCCAAAAATTAACAATTGTAAACCGCTTTGAGACTCAGATCTGCAGTGAAAAGGCGGTATATAAATAAAAACTTAGTTAGTAACTTAGTAGACTCTTGGTAAAAACAGATGTAGAGAATAGCTTACCATCAATGCTTAGACTAATGCCTCCTCAACCCAGCACTGAAATAAAAGTTCTTGAAGTAAGACAACATTGCTTGTCCCATTGGCAAATCTTGTTTAAAGACAGTCAGAATGTATTTAAACTCAAGATAAAAACCACTTGATTCAGGCAATTATTACTTCATATTTTAATCACCTTTTGCAGTGCATATTAACATGATCCAATCGAATGACCATTTTTACAGAATACATGAAGCAGAGGCTAATATCAGTCCTAAATAAGTAATAACTGAATAAATACCGATACATATATCGCCAGCACACGCATAATATCAGTTAGAACGATATAACAAAGACTCCTACATCCACCCACTCAACATTTCATTGTCCTCTTCTTCCTCCCTCTGCTCCTGGCCCTATACAAGTTGTGCATCTCTAATCTGTGCTAAAAGTGCAGAGGAAATGACAGGCGGCTGCAGCTGTGCGCTCTCGCTTACTCCAAACAGCATCATAATTCTGCTCAGGTCCTGGAAGATCAAAAGCCTGCTGTGTGGTTGGCACGTCACGGCAGAAAATCCACTCCAGGCCCTATAGGACACCTCCCTTCTCTGCGCTAATCGGAAATATGCTAATGCAATGTAAACTTAAAGTGCAATTTGTTTAATGCTAAAGATTAGGAATCGTCTCCCTCATGTAGTATGTGTGCGTGAGTGCTGCTTGTGGAGGATGAGTCTATGTGGATTTGCCTGAGCTCGGTGAGTGAAATGTATAGAAGCAGTGCCCCCTGGTGGAGGACTGTGGTAGAAGGCAAGGGACGCAGGTCTGAAAGATCTGCACAATCAAAGTATAAATATGTTAGCGATGTTTTATTCATTTCATCAGAGGTAAACACACAAACACAGGTTGAGGATGAAATCACAAAGAAAGACAAATATTTTTTGTGTGAAACATGTCTGGTTTGAACACTGTTTATTGAGAAAAAATTATGAAGATAGTAGAAGAGGGATGATAGAGGGGTGTGGGGTCAGACAGTGTTTGGGCGTGTGTGTGTTTTGTGTGTGTGTGTGTGTGTGTGTTGCTTTTGTGTCATTATTTTTTGACATCTTAGTTCCAAATTGCCAGAAACTGTGGTGAAAGGGTGCAGGGGGGAATGGAATTGTATACACTTTTCCGTCATTCAACCCAATTTCTGAAAACTCTGTCTTCTGTCATTTTGTTGTAAATTGCGTTGTATGGGTTTTGAAATAATTAATTGATTAGTACCAAAAAAAATAACTATAAGATTTGCAGATTGAGACAGGAGCAGGTGCCGGAGCATAGACTGAATACCAAGATCTGAATGCGGTTGTAAGGACCAGACACAAAGCAGCAGGTAAGTACAAACTGATCCACAAAACACAAATTACACAAGAGCTGGATGCACTACTGACTGAGGCAAAGTAAACCGGATGATAAGAAGTTTATTTACTGACGCCATAAGACTACTAACCCAGGCCTAACTCTGTCTCTGTTTCTATTTCTGTGTTATTATTGTGTGAATACTGTGTTTGAATACTGTACTAAAGTGTTAGGGTTAGGTATTGTGTATTTGACAAACACTTAACTAAAGTGGTGAACAGACCGGATTAGATAAACTCGTCTGAAGCACAGGTGAAGCAAAAAAGAACTACTTTATATATCCCACCAGGAGAAATTCTGCTCGGGGCAAAAAAAATTAAAACAAATCATAAAAAACAGGAAAGATTAAATAGTAAAAAATGTGATATGATGTGAAGAGGGAGGGGGGGACACAAACACTACATTCTAACAAATAACACTCATATAATACCCGTCTATTCTCATTCAGGTGCATGTTTTACTATAGACTGAGATGTGTAAACATATTTAAGACCAGCATCAGAATAATTCTGTTTTAGACCAAAGCTCCGTTCACAAAATAACAAGTGGCGAGTTTTTCCTTGTTGGATGCAGGAGAGTCCAAGAACAGTGGTGATGGTCCAGGACACTCGACATTCAACAAAATGTATGGACTTTATCAACATTTATGGAAATTATGATAATCCACCCCTTATGAACCAATGGCTCTATGTGTTTTTTTATTGGTGCATTTCTTGTCCTGTTTGATTCTCTGATCTGTGTTGGCAAATTCAACGGTTTTGTTAAGTCCTTTGAGATAACTACTGTTGTGAATTAAGGTTATAAAAAAATACATTAATATAATTGAATGGTGGACTGAGATTGCAAAAAAAAAATCAATCCGCCAAGTGACCCATAAGCCCTCAATTCATCCTTTTTGATTTTCCTTCTACAAACCATTTCTTTATTCTTTTTGCAGAAGCTCCGCACATTTATCGACTGGCTAAATGGTGTACAGGTGGGGATGGGATCGAAGCTTAAACTTGACACAAACTCCTCCACAAAACCGCATTTATTTCAAAGCCTAGTTGTGCGTTATATAAGCGGCGGCCTGTTGACTCAGAAGTCCACGTCTGCCTCTTTTTTACCTCTCTCCCTCTCCCCTTCATTTCAAACCCATCGCCCGGGGCTTTTGGATGCTTGCACAATAAAGGTGAGAAGCAGAAGAAAAAAAAAAGTACAAGACATATTCCCAACAAAAGGTCAACCGAACCAAAAACCTCCAATGGTTTACTTATTTCTCGCATTACCTCCTCCATCCATCTGCCCAAAGATGAGAGCATTGTGCGTCTCTTTCATGTTCAAAGTGTGGATCCACGCTGTGTACTACGGTCCTGTGGATGAGTGTTCGCAAGATAGAGAGCGGCAGGTGGAGAGGGCCAGGAGTGTGGAGGCGATGTGGACCCGCACAGGTGCATGGAGAACTGGCTGGAAGTAGAAGAAGAGGAGCCTTCCAGTCATTGGCTCCAGCTACAAAGACAAGGAATGGAAGAATTTTTTTATTTTTTTTCGGAAATTCGCTGGGTTTGATTCAGGTGAGCAGAGAAAGGAACAGATTGGGATGAGTTACATGGTGCAAAAGCCAAAGTATTATTGGGAAATGTTTTTTTGTTATGATATTGTAGGTTGCCACTGTAGTTAAGCAATTTGTAAGTAAGAAAGTAATGTTTATTTATATAGTGCATTTTACAGACCATTTTCAGATAATTTTCCATTTGCCGAACACACTGGCATCAAAGACCCCAACCAAAACCATCCAATCACTCACTCCTTACATTCAGATCTATTGTACATGTTTTTAGTGGTAGGGGAAACCGGAGCACCTGGAGGAAACCTGGGCAGATACAGGAAGAACATGCAAACTCCACACAGAAAGGCTTGGAGGTGGAATTGTTTACTTGTTTACTCAGTGGGATATTCCTGGTCATATAAACACCAATAATGTTTTGCATGTTTTTTTGTTTGTTTTTTTGGAGCTAATGTCACAAAGAACTATAGCGTATCAAACTTTGAAAGCCGTGTGGTTCTATCTCATGGCGTATGCAGAAAAACTTGAAAACATGTTATGGTCTGATTTGTTCACAAAATGCCACATAAATATTTTTGCTTTTTTTCTGTTGGGTCAGAAAACAAACAAGATAAGATAAATAAGATCATCCGCAAGTTTGGCACAAGACAAATAGATATTCTATCCATTTGGTCTCCTTTTTTTCTACTTTTTGTGTCTTCTGAAAATGTCTCTGTCTTCTCAAAGTAATGTTTTGTTTTTCATCAGTGGGAATGGATCGCTTCAGGACAAATGAGCGAGGGAGAGAGATCATTTCTATACATCAAATCAGGCAAGCAAACTCCTGAACAACTGAATGCAGTCATCAAAACATATATTTATCCATGTATTTTATTGACAGTATATAGTATTAATTCTGCTCAAAAGGAGTGGGCAAAAGCAAGAATCTTATAACAACCCCCACTCTCCTGTAAAATATAGCTCCACCTTGTATCCGGTACCAAAAGCCAATGAGAAAAAGTCTCATCTTTTTCCAAATCGCACCAAACTGCCAACATCATGTCGGTTCATATGGTTTTGGATTTAAAGTACTGGTCATATAAATAGCCTACATACTGGCTACTACCTCCACTGCCTCCCGCTGACATGGGCCGACCGCGGGAGCCGAAGATAGTTTTAAGTGGTCGCAAAGGGAGAGAAATTGGGGGTGAAACTTTGCAGCTTCTTGCTTGTTTGTGAACTCAGCAGAGGGCTTTGGCAAAACGTTCCCCAACGCTTGATGCTATACTGTACAGAAGTCAAGAGAAATGACTCAAACTGGAGCAGTGGGGGGAACGAGAATGTTTGTCACTCTCCGAGCCATGTGGAACGTCTCTCCGGCCCAGCGGGGGGTCTGGCATCGGCGAACGGGCACACTTCAGCGAAGCAAGCCGGAGAAATGGACGGGGGGGAGTGTGTGTGTAAGTAAGCAACAAGTGCTGAGAGACAAGCAGGAGTGTGCACGCTGGTTTTATCTACGCTACAAGGACCTCCTGTGATGTGAAATCTGCAAGCCTATGGAGCACACGCCATTCACCAAAAATAAAAATACATATTTGCAGTGTTCAAGCCCTGGGTTTGATTCCACCTCCAGGCCTTTCTGTGTGGAGTTTACATGTTCTCCCCGTGTCTGTGTAGGTTTCCTCCAGGTGCTCCGGTTTCCCCTAGATTGATCAGCAGGTGTATGTGTTGTTCTAAAGGTTTTATGTCATTTTGATCCTTATTTGGTTTCGAATCTCAACAACAATATTTTTGTTTTCCCCTAGAAAAAGTAATCCACACTAGAGTCAGATTCATTGATTTACCATTTGCAGTAAACCCACATTGGAATGCATTTGCAAATAATCCCTGTGGGGCTGTAACAATACAAGTACATACATAACAAGGTTAAAAGACAATGCTAGTAATGTATTTCAATTTTGTCACGCTAATATCATATAATGAGAACTGGAGATCATGAAAGGCCCTCAGGTAGATAGTACATCCTCTCAGCTGCAAATTGGTATTTCTACATGTGTCATTGGTTGTATTTAAGTTTGTGCACAGCTAAAAGTTGCTCATATTGGTTTACCCCTGAAGTGACATTTGGCCACAAAGTAAGCTAATTTCATGTTTAACTTGTGTGTTGTTTAAAGAGTTACCTAAAAGTCACAAAGTCCAGATACATAGATAAGAACATTTATTTTTGTATTAATTTAAAGGGCAAGTCTTATTTATTTGTGTTCATTTGATAATTAGGCTGATGTGAAGAAGAGAGTATTTGCTGGAGAAAGTCAGTACAGACTTAATTACTCTGAAAATGGTCACCAAAAAAAGTCATGCACAATCCCACCAATATTTCAAGGTGTAGGTGGCGGAAATGTTCTTTAAAATCGGCAGCCGTTTCAGATAGAATTGTCTGTTTTGGAGATCCGACCTCTGATACCTCCACGCTCCTGCGACAGTCCCGTGACAGCACCTCTCTAGTCTCTGTTAGGGGCTGGTACCAAAGGGGTCGCACAGTGGTCTTTCCCGCCCTAATCCTCCAGCCATCCCCTCACCTCCCTCTCCTCGTCCTCTCTTACATCTCCAGAGATCCAAGCAGCCTGGGGGTCCTGCTGCAGCTGCTTTTAGAAAGAGAAGAAGAGAAGAAGAAGAAGAAGAAGAAGAAAGGTAAGGGGGTGAATGTTCTCCTGCATGCATGTGTCAGAGATGGCCTCACGGTCGAATACAAAACCTTCCGAGACTCTGCCTTTACCTGCCAGGACGTCTGAAGTTTAAACAAAAGTAGCATTTCCTTTGTATTGATTTGTTTGGGAGAAAGCCCGGAAGCGATTGTGTGTTGCATCTGTAGACTTCTGAAAGTAAGGTCTAAATGTGCCTGATATATGCTGAGACCTGTGAAGTAGGTATTAGGTATAATCATGAAACTACTCAAACTCACAGAGCAGTCAGTTTGACGGCCCCCATTCAAATAAATGGAAAATGGAAAAAGTGTGTTTGAGGTAAAAGGTTTTTTTTTCATCCTCACTCACTTAAAATTAAACTAACACTGGGAAATATAACTGAAATACAGCTAAAACACCAAATGCAATCTGCTCACAGTAAACAATGTGTTGCAATGGTAATTACTCTGCAAATTTTGCTCAGGGCCAGGCTCTTGGGGAAAATGGGCTTGAACTGCCATAGAATAACAAAAACAGAAAAAGTAAAAAGTCAAGTTATGGAGATCAAAAATGCACACTTTCAAATCATAAAAGTCGTCAAATGGACTGATTTGGGAGTTATTGTGTTAACTCAAGGAGATTATTAAAACAAGGTGAATGTTAGTTGCAAATAAGCGTACTATTAGTATTAGATAGCAATATGGCCTACGTGCAGGACTGTACAAGGACTCTACAAGGACTCCATGTTATGACTATGATGTGACTGTCTCTTTGTGACACGTATGTCTTTCGATGTGTGACGTGACAATGACTATATAAACTGTGTACTGCCTTTATTCTGTCTGAGAGAAAGAAACAGAGTAAACCAGTGGAACTTGAGAGAAACTTAAATAAACTTCCAGAGTTTGGCACACCACGATCCGTCTCTCTCTGCCTAAATCCTAACAGATTTGGTGGAGAATGCGCGGCTCGGTTTGTGCCATTCTCTGGATTGTTTTGAGGGAGTTTGCTTTGTTTCTTTTTCTCGGCGTGGGAGAGCTGAGAGTGTCTGGGGCCTGGGAGCGGTCCAGCAGGCTGGAGAGGCGACCGGCTCCGGGACTCTTTTTCGCTGTCTCACTATATTTTTTTGTGTCCTGTTTTTTGGACTTAGCGTTTCAAATTGTTTTCCCATGTCCGCATTCCGGGGATTTTTGACGTGCGATTGGTCTCTGCCGATGGAAACTAGTTCCCGGTACTAGTGAGCGCTGGTTCATGATCTGGAGACCTGGTTGGACGTGGAAAAGCTGATATTTGGTGGACTTCTGACGGTGCCTGGGCCCTGTTCAACAAAAGGTAAGAGCGGACACCTGTTTATTCAAAGTCTGCTAATTGAGTGAACTAAATTATGGTCCTTTTTTGAGGTCCACCAAATGTCTAATATCTATAGATAAGATTAGAGAGAGAAAGGAACCCCTGACGTATCGGGGTCCCTGTCCTTTGAAGTAGTCAGGACAGAGAGAAAGGAACCCCTGACGTATCGGGGTCCCTGTCCTTTGAAGTAGTCAGGACAGAGAGAAAGGAACCCCTGACGTATCGGGGTCCCTGTCTTTTGAAGTAGTCAGGACAGAGAGAAAAAGGAACCCCTGACGTATCGGGGTCCCTGCCTTTGGAGTAGCTGGGGCAGAGAGAAAAAGGAACCCCTGACGTATCGGGGTCCCTGCCTTTGGAGTAGCCGGGGCAGAGAATAGAGAATAGAAAATAGTTAGTGAATCCATGGTGTAAACATAAAAGCAATAAAAAGGGAAACGTGTTAAGGAGGCCTTTGTTACAAAAGCTTTGAAATTGACGAATTTCAGGCTGATAAATGACAAAAGTAAAGAAGCAACAATATTTCAGTGATCACGGTTTAAATTACATACAGAAAAAGGGAGTTTTTTTGTTTTTTAGTTTGTTTTTGGCGTGAACAGAGTTCACCGGAGAATGCAGAGTTTTATCTAAAGTTGAGCTATGAGAGCTTTCGTGAGTTATTTACATTTTTTGCCGAGTTTTATCTACAGTTGAGCTATGAGAGGGATGTATCCAACAGTTGTTTTTGTTTTTTAGAAAGAGATTTTGAGTTTAAATTAGTTTGCTACCTCGATAAAATAGAAGCGTACGTTAAAGACAAGAGTGCCTTTTGTTACTAGTGTGGAAAGTGATCACTTCTAGATTTGGATGACAAAAGTATAAAGAACAACATCAGTTATATTCGCTTAACAAAGTAATCTTGAAAGTTATTCTTCTGTATCTTTTTGCCTGTGTGTGCACATCTCTATCTTGCTGCCGTTGTCAGGGAAACGGCCCCCTCCTTCGCTGCTCTGGCTGTGAATCTGAAGCAAAGCTACTGCTTTAGGACTTTTGGCTTTTCATAGTAGTTATTCCGTTAAATTTGCTAAATTTGCCATTTGAACATTGTGTTAGACACAGTTAAACGTTTTTAAACACCATTAGGGAATAGAAGTTTTGAATTAGTATGTTTTTGAAACCCAAAGATTAGTACAAAAAGCTTTGCTTTTCTTTTTAAATCTGCTGCTTATTTTGTGAGTCCATTATTGTATCTGATATTTCATAGCTGTTAGTGAGAATTTTTTTATGTTTTTATTTTAGTTACAAAAGCCGTTTTTCAAACATTTAAATTAGAATCTGTTAAAAGTGATTAATGATTGTAGACTTCGTCTAAAAAAGAAAGAGGGAATTAGGCTGTAAAAGTATTATATTATTAAGTTAAACTACCCAATTCACCTTGCAAGTGGTGACTTTTGTTTTTGTTTTGACTATGCACCTGACCTTCCTCCTGCTGCAGATGCACGCAGCACAGGAGCCTGGTCTAAAATGTGCTCCAATTCATACTGACTTCATTTGAAAAATGCTGCAATTATTTTAAATTAGTAGAATAGATGCTGAGATAAATAAGTGTAAAAGGGAAAGTCCATAAAGTGAAACCCAAGATGTTCAAGATTAAAAACATCACACAGTACAAAAGTACATAATACATATTTTAAAGTTTGAAGGTTTAAGAGATTTGAGTCTTGTTTTTTTATTAAGAGAGTTTCTGGTTTTAAAATGTCATCATTAGTAAGAGAATAAGTAATCTTTATTTACATAGCGCTTGGGAAAACCCAGAGCGCTCAAATTGTTTTGACTTCAGAGAGAAAAACAATCTCATTCACAATCTCTGTTGTTTTTAATTTGACTATAAGGTTGTTTTCCAGAACCAAGAGCACACACTGTACAGGGTCACTGGACTGCTGGACACTGGACAGCGCAAAGCCCACCCAGCCACAGGTCACAGATCAAAGAGCAAAGGGAAATGCCACCTCCTTGCCCCTCCCCACGCCACTGCAGAACTGAGTGGGTGTGAGAGAGACCGGGGCCATGAAAGAGAGGTATCTGGAGACGTGATGGGTGGAGCGTCAGGTAGAGACCTAGAGGCAGTTGAAAGTGTGTCCAGTTGGTTTACATCACCACAGTGTGACCTTTGAGACCTACAGGTGGTTCGTGGAGTCTGGAGAGACAACCCCAAAATTCATACACACACACACACACACACACATACACTCACACATTCACATTTACATATAGATACATGAAAAAGCAGAACATGAGGAAAAAGCATTTTAAAAGTTTACTCCAATGTAAACACATATTTTTAATTGTCTATCACTTGAATCTTTATTTGAATCAGTATTTTTTGAGACCAGAAATGTTCATTTGAATTCTATATTGTCATGGACATAATTGACCTCTGTCCTGACACTTTTGATTTGTTGATTTTGTACTGTGTGAAGTAATTACATTGATGAGAATTAGATCTGATAAAAACACAAATTAGAGAAGTAAACTGAATAACTGCGCTTGCTTTTTGTCTGAGGGACATTAGCAACAGCATGAATAGAAATTGTGTTAAAGTAGAATCAAAGTGATTTAACCATAGAGAGTAACTATTGCATAACAAGCTGTGTACAGGAACTGAGACACTGCACCATTGACCAGAAGTGCATCGCAAATGACCTGATGTGCTTCAACTGAAAAGACTGTATCTGGAGATCCTGATGTGCATCTGGAGACCAAAACTATGGCTTGGACCCTACTGATGACCAAGATGACATCTCTCTCTATGACCTGACCTGATGACGACTGAGACTCACCCTCAGGGGACCTGAGGATCTGAGGACCTGAGAGAGAAAACTGGGGAGTGATGTTTATATTTTTGAAATCATACATTGATGAGTGCTAAATGAGAGAGATACTCATGATTCTTTCTTTTGTTTTTGTTTGTCCCTAGCTTCTGGACATCTGATGATCTATTGGACACAGCCATTTGCAGAACAAGAACCAGCCAATGAAAACGTCTATTGCCGATGCTATTGCTACAACCAGAAACTGTGACAAATGCAATATAAATGTTGAGTATTCAGACATCTGACAGACAAAAACTTTGAAAATGATAAAGTATAAGTATTGTAGCGTTTTTAGTAGTAGTAGAAAGAGTAGAATTTGACTTCCTTTGTTGTTCATAAACACATTTCCACATAAGAGTTAAAATAGTACCCTACAATGTTATCCTTTTGATAGATCAGCTATAATATTAGAATCAGAATAATGTTACAGCCATTAAAAGTGACAGAAGTCACAAACTAGGAATATGCCTTTGCTCAAGCTGCAGCCGAGCTTTTGAGTTAAAAAATAGAGTAAAAATAGGAATAGATAAATGCATCAACCATAGATTCTTTCAAAAATAGAGATTATTTGTAGCCAGTGCTAATATCAAATGGTAAAGGGACCATTTCACAAGCATTTACTTCAAAAGTAGATAAAGTTAATTACAGTTTATGTACAGTTTTATTAGATACTTGCCAAATTCACTTGTGTTCAAACATGAGTGAATGTTGACTATGCAAAAAGTCCATATGAGTGTAGTCTAGATTAATGCCTAGATCAATGAGATAGATTAGAACCAACAGAGATTCAAAAGCATTTAAAAGCATTTTGATGAATTTGGGTGTAGCACAAAAACACAATAGTAGATATTTAGATATTGAGAAGTTTCCAGCACAAACACCATTGTAGAATAACTGACCCCAACCCCA